ATATATATATATGAACTTGAAAGCCTCTGACTTCAAGTTCAACCCATAAGTAAGTTAGATCTAATCTGCAGGAAAAAATCAGATCGTCTGCATCCTCCAAGTTCACTCTCAGTTTAAGCTCAGTCTTTCACGTTTGAGTACCTTAATGCATCACAAGCATCACTGTGCACGGATAACCTGCAACGGATTACATAATCTACCTGGTGAAAACTGTTTGTGTTCATTCTGAATATTTACAGTATGAACAGATTTCAGGATGCTTGGGCAAACTAAATGAAGAAATTTTTATGCTTGTTCTGTTCCACAAATTCTCAGAAGTTGGACTTCAAGTTGTTTGAAAGCAAGAACGTTCCTCCAGAAATCAATATCCAGCTGAAACTCTCATGCAGCAAACGCAGTTTAAAATTAAAAAGCTGAAATTACCTAAAACTGTTTTTAGAATCTCACACCGCCTGTTGTAGTAGTTAATGTCTTCGCATCCTCTTAATCCAGGCGTTCACAAAGACTCCAAGCATCAACATCCAGTTTTTAGTCCAACATGATCCAGCTGCATGAGACCCTGAGAGCAAAGTGAGCAGACGGCGAGCTGAGCAGAGAGGCAGTGAGCTGCTGGGTGATGGTTGCTCAACTCCAGTCGCTCAGCTTGCAGCAGAGCATGCTCAGTCTCTCTGCCTATCCTCTGTGGGTCGCACAGACAGAGGAAGTGCTCATTTTGCAGCACACCCATCCTTAAACAACCACGAATCAAAGAACGTTTTGAAATAACGGCTGCTTTCTGCTGACCTGCAGCTCTTCAGGAATACATTTGATAAATTAGGAAATATGTGACTCAAAGGTCTTAGCATATTGTATATAGTATATTATTATAGTACAATGTAAGTCTTAGTATTGAAGAATGTAAAACAGTTTTGCTTTCATAGTTTTGATTTATCAAAAGAAGCTGGAAGAGGTTGTTTGTCTTTAAGTTCTTTATAAATTTAATCTGTAAAAAAGAAAACTTAATGGTTCCTTCATTTGAAACTATGCTATCTAAAGTTACTTAACTGTGATTGTATAATTCTTCTCTATGTTGGGTTCTGTTCCACAACCATTGCCTGCATGTTTTTATTAAATGCTATGAAACACTGCATGGTGAATCAATGTATGCCAACTGATTTTTCAAAATAAAGCATTGGATTTAAAAGTACATTAAAGTCTGCGTGTTGCAAGTGTGTTAAAATATATTTATTTTAATTAGAGAATGACTCTGAAGTCTTGCTAAGAATTGTGCATAAATTCCTGTAAACACTGACTTCATACACTTATTATGAATCCCTTTTTTTTTTTTTTTTACTGGATTGTTCCATAAAGGAAAAAGAAAACTTGGAGAAAGTTTTACACAGGAATAAGTTACGTGAACAACCAGAGGATCTCTTGAGGATCGTTATGTGCGGAGGCGGTTTCAGCACATTCTTAAGGTATGTGCACAGGTTGCTTTTTTATATTCTAATCTTTTCCCTTCCCTCCAGCCCAGGAAACTTTTATTATTATTATTATTATTATTAATTTACTTATTTATTTATTTGACTCATCGTGCCTTTCGGGGATGTAAAAACTAACATCGTGCAGATTAACTTTTTTCCTGCATCACAAAATTTTGGATTTACATCAAGCTTGTGTGCAGCTGAAATTATCTGCATCTTTTTTCTTTTTTTTTTTTACAGTGGTGATTATTTCTTAGTTCGCTGCTTCTGGTTTAAAATAAAAAGTTTTCTGCATTGTGATAAATTATGTATAATTAACAAGGCACGCTCGAGTTCTGTGAACTTGTTGCCCAAAACCTGAAACATGCCGAGAGCCGTAAAAAGGGAGTAACTGTCAAGACAGCATCTGAATGTTTGACTTGAGATACGACCAAGCGAGTCAGATTGCAGAAGATCAATGAATGGATGCTGATGCTGTCAGCACTTTGAGCTGAAAAACACTAAAGAAACCTGAGTCAATATCTCATTTGTACATCAACTTGAACTTAATCCATGTTAGTGGCAAGAAAACTGCATATTTTGCATTAAACACAACACATTAAAGTCAAAAACCTTTGAAATCTACTTTGTATTTAAACCAGTACAAAGACAATTTTATTTAAGATGGATGAAATGTGAAATAGTTCTTGCTTTACGTGTTCAATTTTTGTTGGTAAATTTGTTGCTTTGATTTCCTGCTTGATTAATTGGGTGCATCTGTGAAGCAACAATAACTAAACAAAAAATCTGTTTATGAACTAAAAATGTAAGAAAAGTGGCACATCATGACACCAACCAACCAGAGGCATCAACTTTAGAGAAGTGGCAGGTGTTCATCATAACATTGCATGTCTAGGTGACCTAAACAATTATTTACAGAATATGATGTATCATTAAGTCTTTTATTTCTATCTTATTCAGACACTGAGCCTAGTTTAGTAATAGTGGATGACTGCCTAAATAATAATTAAAAGTCTAGCATTCTGTAAAGGAATGCATATCACCCACTGCCTTTATGCCAGAATTTGAAATTAAAATAGTCTTGTGTTAAAACAAGATGGAATTTTGCTCAATCCTCTAAAATATTGCCATGTGCATTGTCCCCTCGTCGAGGGATGAGGTCAGATGAGTTGGGGGTGAGTGTCGGTCACTAGTACGTCAAGATCTTAGCATATTATTTGTAATAACTGCTAATCAGCTTAATACATTAAAATCTGTTCACTGTTTCATTAAATAGTTTCTAAAAGACAGACAAATGCCCCACACAGAGGCAAAAATCATTTTCACTCACCCTACTCCTTTCAGTGCRAATAATAAATATACTTATATGTAAACACAAATAAGCAATTGTCCTGATGCATCTCAGTAATTCAGGTAAAACAAATTWAAAAAATTAAAAAGACCTATTAAACTTTTTTTAATGACAAAGAACTAGTTTCCCTTCTGTGCCGCAGCCCCATCTAGTGGTCAGAATGTGAAAAAGCAACAAGCGCATTTATGAATTATAAAAACTTGAGAGCAGAGTTTAATAACTAGACTACTTCAGCACTTACTGCAGGTTTTATTCACGTTTTTAACACTTGAGCCAACTGGTCATAAATTAACATTACAAACTGAGGCTTTTAAAAACCTTTCTGTAAAATTTACAATTGTGCAGTTAATTGTTTTATATCTCAGACTCAAAGTAAAAAAAAGCAGTTTTCATTAAAAAAAAACTTGCACTTTTGCACATGATTATCCATTWAAAAATCTGTGTTTTGCAAATGTTGAAAAGTCAACTGCATGTGCTGCATTAATTTATCTGGATGGGTTGAAAAATAAAGTGAAAGCGCTGGTATGTGAGCATCCCACTCAGCTGTTAAGATCTACTTCATTTGTGTGACTGATGGGAGATTTGTGTGCTTTTACTTTAAGTTTGATACCACACACGAGTTACACAAGCTGTTTCAAGACACACAAACTACTAATGAACATAAGGAAAAATGTTCTTCATTTTTATCTTTTCTTCAGAGCGTAGAGGAAAAAAGATTTAGCTTTTTCAAATCATGCTCAAACGTTCAGTCTGAGATGTAGCAAAGTGTAACATGCTGTGAAAAACATACCTCCCACAGAGACCTGAACTCCTTTTGTCCGATGCGTAGGAGCTCGCTGAATTCTCGAGTGATGATGGTAGCATGTCTGGGGGTGTTGTCCAGGATTGACTCCCCAAACGCTGTGCCTGTCCCCAGGGTGCATATGGTAACAGCATCCTGCAAAAGTCACAGGCATGGAGTTCAGTTTGAATCGTTGCTTCTTCATTTCTGTAAGGTAAAGCATCAACTAATAGATAATATAATGTCCTCAAACTGACCAAAGTGCAAAAATCAATTTTTTTAGATGTCTCCTGGAAACCCACAAAGCTTCTTCAAAGATATGCAATTAGCATCCAGTGATGAGGAGAAGGCTGTAGGATTAACTTTTATCCTGCATTGAGGGGGTAACAGTTTACTTTTTTGTTGTTGTTTTTGCATATGTGAGAAATTACAAACAAAATTTTTCTTACAAAATAAATCAAGCATTTAAATAAAATCATGCGACTGAATTTTCAGTCCCTATTTTTTTAAAACACATGCAGCAAACCCTTTATATAATAAAATGTGAGAGAAAAGTAATTTTGATTTTCAAACAATGGGCCTCATGCAAGAACCGTTCGTACGCACAGATTTGTTCTTAA